GAGAAACAGCCCAATTTAGCCACTTTATATTTGTGACACCGTGGGTAATTTTCAAAAAGTATGCTTACCTATAAAATGGAAATAGTACCTTTCCATTTTGTGTTGGGATTAGCCACAGAGCTGCTTTAGTTACTGTCTCAACCAAACTGATTCAAACTAGATCTTTCACTTGAACTGATGAATCAAAGGCTTGTACTGTCTCCTTTTAAAGATATGGTCAAAACTATTGCTTCCATGCCTTGTCATTATCTCATTTCCAGGAAATGCCCGAGCATTTATCTGCCATTCAAGGCCCTTCCCTCTGGGAAGGGGAGCACCTAGGTAGCCATCTATTAAATCTACCCCTACCGCTCCCACCTTAAATGACTTTCTATATCATTAATCGATCTGTCTTCTCCCTCCCTCATCTCCAAGCCCACTTTGCCTCTTTAAAGAAAAATCTCCAGTACATTTCCAGGTCGTAGTAAGCAGAGTAGCAGCCTCGCCTCACCTCATCCCATAAGAGATGCATGTCCTATGCCCAGAAATAGAGTATGTTAGGACCTGTAGTGAAAGGTTATTAAGGCAGGAGATGGAATGGTTGCTTGATCACCTGACCTTAAGATAGAGATTATCCTGGTTATCTGGGTGGCCCCATAACTACAAGGGCGGCAGAAGTCAGAGGAGGATGTGACTGGAAGGATGGTTAGAGACATGCAGTGTTGCTGGTTTGAAGGTGGAAGAAAGGGACGAAAGGCCAAGAAATACAGGTAGCCTCTAGCAGCTGGGAAAGTAATTCTGTAGTCCTCAGGTAGCAGCCCTGCTGCTACCTTGATTTTAGCCCAAGTGAGACCCATGTCAGACTTTTTTAAGTTTATTGACTTGAGAAACATCGATCTGTACCACATATTTATGCATTCATTGGTTGCTTCTTGTATGTGCTCTGTCTGACCAGGGGTCAAACCTGCAACCTTGGTGTATCCCGGTGATGTTCTAACCAACTGAACTACCCAGCCAGATCTACTTCTATAGATCTATATTTTGCTTTAAACCATTGTGTGATTTCCTTATGACACCAACAGATCAGTAAACATTATTTTGAATTTTACTGTAAGGAAGTTCTGTCCCTTCTCCCCCGTGTATATATCTATGTCAGAATGGACTCATCACTGTCATATTCCACAGCTTATAATTCATTACAGATTTGACCACTGGGTGCTCCTTCAGATGGTTCCTGTGTCCTTTAGACAAGCCTCCTTCCATTTTTGAGGTGTCCATACTTTATGGTACCACAAGATATTCCAGGCTCATTTTATATTCTGCCTCAGAATTTCTCCAAGGATCTCTGGTTCCTTTCATTGAAGAATGGCATTTAGAAACCAAGATCTGGACACTGTGTGCTCATTGCTACTGGGTGGTTGTCACTGCCTCTAGGCCCTCTGAGCAGAGAGGTGTAGGAAATATACCAATATTTCTAACCCTAGTGCTCACACACAGATGCGTATTTCAGTATCTGTACGTACATATATCAGAGTCCATACTCCCGCAATCCCAACACCATAAGGTTCATTCTAGCCTTACCACCTTCTCATCTGTAACTCTGCTCCAGCAGCGAGAAACCTGGCAGGGCCAGAGCTCTAACCACACCATCCCTGCCGAAGGAAGGAGGGAAGAGGGAGCATGCTGCATAGTGCTTGGCTTAAAGGATGGGATTTTGACTTACGGGATAGTCATTCCCAGCAGAGAACAGCATGAGTAGAGGTTGGCAGGCAAAGCAGGGCATGATGATGTGGAACCCTAAGATGGGGAGGAGACAGGTCCCAAAGGGCCTGAATTAAATGCAACAGGTAGTTCATGAAGGTGACTTCAGGCAGTGGAGAACTGCTTGACATTCTGGATTAGGAAGTGGCAGAACCAAGGCTATCTGGGCTTTAGATCCAAGAGCAAATGGATTGGTGAGGAAACGAGCTGTGGTCTTGAGCCAGGGTAGTGTGGCCATCATGGACATGATGGGTGGGGCCCTGGCTGCTACGATTCAGTGGTTAAGAGTGTTGGCCTGCGCATTGACAGGTTTGATTCCCTGTCAAGGGCACATACCTCAATGCAGGTTCACGC